ATGTTCAGTTGTATATCAGTATGGAGTGTCTCCACTTTAAAGAGTCCTCTCCTGCTGCTTCTTTATTTCTCTTCTGAGAACTGAAGGAGAAGTGTTTCTGTGAGAATGTGGTTAACAGCAGCAGCAGAGCTATGGAGGTTTTACCCTCTGATGCAAGGTAAGAGCAAAAAGCAGAACCGTGCAGAGTGGTGTACATGTAGTAATATATATATTTGATATATAACAGCAGGGGGTGGATATCAATATACCTTAATATATAAATGAATATGCAGCGATAACAAAAGGCAGTGTTGTTGATCAGTGGAGTCACTAGTGAAACTGTGTACTTTAAGAACACACCTGATGTTTAGAGAAAGCCATATTAGGAAAAACCACACAAATAGATACATCTGCACTCTTGAAAGGCTAATAGATCACTTTATTTAGTAAGATACAGAACAATCAAATGTACTGAAGAAAAAGCAATACTCCATTGAATTATATTAAAGAAAAAACAGTAATAAGAACTTTACAAAACCTTCATTATGCCCACACTGTAAGTATTCAGAATACAGTAACTCTCCAACATGTCTGCCCCTTTTTCACGATCCACCTCTAGAGGGACTCACATGTTTTGCTGTTCTCTCACTTTGATGCTATTAAGCCAAAAAAAGCAAAAACCTGGTTAAAATAAATCTTATTATAACTCTGCTCGCTTTGCCCTTACACTTCTAAATCTGGCTATTGTTTTAAACATTACATCCGTTTGTTTGTTGGTTTGTTGATGGTGGCGTAGAGGAGGCTGGGATCAGCGGAGGCAGCAGAGGAAGAGGAGGGAGCTCTCACAGTGCTGTAGGTCACTGCATCATCTTCATCATCATCATCATCATCATGAAGGTGAGCCTGGAGGGAAAGAAAAGTGATTATGCATAAAGGAGTTCTGAAAGTCCTGCATTTGCTGCCATTTAACAACTTTAAAGAGTCCTCTCCTGCTGATGTTCAGGTGTATATCAGTATGTAGTGTCTCTACTTTAAAGAGTCCTCTCCTGCTGATGTTCAGGTGTATATCAGTATGTAGTGTCTCTACTTTAAAGAGTCCTCTCCTGCTGATGTTCAGGTGTATATCAGTATGTAGTGTCTCTACTTTAAAGAGTCCTCTCCTGCTGATGTTCAGGTGTATATCAGTATGTAGTGTCTCTACTTTAAAGAGTCCTCTCCTGCTGATGTTCAGGTGTATATCAGTATGTAGTGTCTCTACTTTAAAGAGTCCTCTCCTGCTGATGTTCAGGTGTATATCAGTATGTAGTGTCTCTACTTTAAAGAGTCCTCTCCTGCTGATGTTCAGGTGTATATCAGTATGTGGTGTCTCTACTTTAAAGAGTCCTCTCCTGCTGATGTTCAGGTGTATATCAGTATGTAGTGTCTCTACTTTAAAGAGTCCTCTCCTGCTGATGTTCAGGTGTATATCAGTATGTAGTGTCTCTACTTTAAAGAGTCCTCTCCTGCTGATGTTCAGGTGTATATCAGTATGTAGTGTCTCTACTTTAAAGAGTCCTCTCCTGCTGATGTTCAGGTGTATATCAGTATGTAGTGTCTCTACTTTAAAGAGTCCTCTCCTGCTGATGTTCAGGTGTATATCAGTATGTAGTGTCTCTACTTTAAAGAGTCCTCTCCTGCTGATGTTCAGGTGTATATCAGTATTTAGTGACTCTACTTTAAAGAGTCCTCTCCTGCTGATGTTCAGGTGTATATCAGTATGTAGTGTCTCTACTTTAAAGAGTCCTCTCCTGCTGATGTTCAGGTGTATATCAGTATGTAGTGTCTCTACTTTAAAGAGTCCTCTCCTGCTGATGTTCAGTTGTATATCAGTATGTAGTGTCTCTACTTTAAAGAGTCCTCTCCTGCTGATGTTCAGGTGTATATCAGTATGTAGTGTCTCTACTTTAAAGAGTCCTCTCCTGCTGATGTTCAGGTGTATATCAGTATGTAGTGTCTCTATTTTAAAGAGTCCTCTCCTGCTGATGTTCAGGTGTATATCAGTATGTAGTGTCTCTACTTTAAAGAGTCCTCTCCTGCTGATGTTCAGGTGTATATCAGTATGTAGTGTCTCTACATGTCTCCATGCTTTAATGTTCAAAAAGCTCTTTATTTTGCTCATACTGCCTGTGCTGCAGCACCTCTTTTCACCCTCTGTCTGAAACCAGAGCCCAGTCTGCTCTGATTGGCTAGCTGGTCGGCTCTGTTGTGATTGGTCAACCTCTTAGAGATGTCCCGCCCCCAAGCCCGCCTTAACCTGCCATCAGGCCCTGGGGCTGTTTTGTAGGCCCCCTATTTAAACAACAAATCAAAGTCATTTATAGCCTCGGCAGGCTCTGTGATCGCACTTCTCCACTCTGCTCTACGAGCGCCTGGTCCTCTCCTCCAGATGAGTGACGTATCGGGCCTCCCTCATGTATTTGTCCGGTTGCCGTTGGCTCCCCTCCACGTAGCAAGTCCTCGTCGTCCTCTCTATCTCCTCCAACAGATAATGTTGCTCCTGTGTGTTTTTCCTCTCCCGCTACTCCATCGCTATCAGAACCAGACGGTCTACTTGGGTCCGAGGCCCCCACGGCCGGCACCGCTGCCGGTACAGAACTAATCTGTCCTTCCTCCTCATCCTGGCCTACAGGTTTAAAATAACCTGTAAGCTTCGGCATTTTTTGTAATAGCTGCTTGTCTCGAAACTCCTTTTCCCTCAACAATTTCCTTTTCCGAGCGCCACTCTCAAACTTTTTCTTCTCCGACATTTTGTCCTAAACAACCTTCATCTGTCACTCAATCACTTGCAATTTGAATAAGTCACATGTTAAACATATTCTCATTCTGATTGGCTGTTAAGTGGTGCCCACTGACTGTTACGGAGTCATCATTTTTGAGAAAAATCTCTGGAATCCATCGATCTGATTAATTATTAGCAAATGATCAAAATAGTACGGAGGGAAGATATTTTTGTTTGGATTACTGGTCTGGGGGAAGCTCACGAGTGTGTGTGTGTGTGTGTTTGTGTATTTTTGCATTTGTGTGTATTGTGTTTGTTTCCCGGGCAAAACACTCACGAGAAACGCTGGCTGTTGTTATGCCTGCTGTGAAGTCAAGTTACTCCGTTCTCCGCTTGTAATTATGTCTACAAGCTTCAAAGTTGTATTTATCATCTGAATTTGCCGAAACAAGTTTAATATTCTGAAAGCCAAGACTTTGTTTATTTGAAATCAGATGAAAACAAACTGTAACACACCCTGCCGTGTTATCTATGATTACTATACGCCTTACATTCATAATTTCAGCGGAGGGAGGGGAAGCGGCACTGTGGGACAGCAGAGTGGCGAGGGAGGGCTTTCTTCTTCTCTTTACAAGCTTCAAAAATGTATTTATTGTGTGATTTCATTTTCTGAAATCCAAGACTTTGTTTATTTAAGATTTTTTTTAAACTCCCGAAAAAAAAAAAAAATAATTTAAATTTTTTTTTATTTTTTATTATTGGCTCATGATAGGCCCCCGATCTCCGTAGGCCCCTGGGCTTCAGCCCAGGTCAGCCCGTGCATTAAGGCGGCCCTGCCCGCCCCTTAGCCCATCACGTACAATGTGTTGGAGCGCTAGCCAATAGAAGCATTAGTGTAACATAGTGATGTCACTGTGTTCAGTAAGTACACAAAGGAGTCTAATGGAGGCATTTCAGGCAGGGGGGGGGGGGGGGGGGGCGAAAAGCACAGATATGTTAGTCTTTGCAGACCAGTTACATGAATACAAACCTGTATCACAAACTACAGGAGAGGGAAACCCCCCAAAAGCACAATAGGGCCTCTTTAATGTGTCTAAACTTTATACACAAATGTGTGTGCTTCTTATCTGCTCGCCCCTTAAATCATGTTGAGCTATAACTCAGAGAAACTAGCCAATAAGAATGTAAACCACACAGCATTAATATATATATTGTATGTCCCCTTTTACATTCACCTCGTTTTACTTCCAACGTCTCGCTAAAAATGCGATGGCCAGAAGAAGGTAGAAGACGTGGAGCCGTGGATTTGTGCCAGTTTGTCCTTTGTATCGAGTCCTCTAGGGCGGGGGGGTCAAACTCAATTTCATCGTGGGCCACATCAGCATTATGGTTGCACTCAAAGGGCCGGTCGTAACTTTCAATCTCAATCTTTATTCATTTATATAGCACATTTAAAACAACCTCAGTTGACCAAAGTGCTGCACAGGGAACAAATATAAAATAACACAATAGGAGTAAAATAATAAAACGATAATACAAAGCACAATAACTAAAAACATATAAAAACACATACAAATATCAAAATGTTATGTTCAACTAGTATTAAAAGCCAGTTCAAAACTTTACGACTATATATAAATATATCATATATATAAAATAATGTATTATATTGAAAAGCAGAAGTCTAGGGCAAAAAATAGCAAGTCTCTTCCAGTGTGCATGTCACAAAATGAGATGCATTGTGGGACATGTAGTTTATGGACAACGTGCCTCTGTAAAGCGGCATTCAACCGTATAATAAACATATTATATTCTTTGCAAGCTCTTGCGGGGCCACATGAAATATAGTCGCGGGCCGGAATTGGCCCCCGGGCCTTGAGTTTGACCCCGCCGCTCTAGGGTGACAAGTGCATGCTGTATTTTTCAATAAGATAAACAGATTCAGCAAAGATGGAAACAGTGGCAAATCTTTTCCACATACTGCACTTGGTGTTGAGCCACACAGGGCCTGGGAATGCAGTCATCTTAAATAAACATCCAGATTGTGTCTCAATGTATGTTTGGCTCGGTCCTCCACAGTGATTGGATGTCAGCTCAAACTGATCCGTCTCATATCGGCCTGAATTATTCCTCTGTTGTTCAGCTGAATACGTGCCTGAGGTTTTCTATATGTTGTCATACCTTTAGAGCTGCTGGTGTAACCCCATTTCACATCGAAACACTTCTCCTTCAGTTTTCGGAAGAAAAACACTGGAGGTGAAATGAGGAACCAGAAAACATCTTGCCACGTTCAACTTCCCCTTTTCTGTCGCTTACCTGCTGTTATCATCGGTACTGACTTCTTGTTAAAGAAGCAGCCGGGGAGAGACTCTGACAGTCGAGAGCCAGAGACCAAGAGAGAAGCACGATGTCTGAATTCAGAAGGATCATGATGTCTTCATTCCTGATGCTGCTGCTCCACTTTCCAGGTGAGGATGCAGAGAACACACACTGTTTACGACTGTTAATGAAAGGTAGTGAGGGCGTCTTTCAATTGAAATCGATGTATCCTTGGGCAAGATGCTTAACCCCAAGTCGCTCCCAATGGGGAACGGTGTGTGAATGATACCTTCTGTCGTAGAGTTTGAATCAGTTTCTACATTAATATCCACTTTCCTCTATCGGGGTTGTGGGTTATGACGCGCCTCTCTTTGCTTCCAAACTAACTTTGCAGAGATTGTTGTAGCGTTGAATCACATCAGGTTTATTCTTTGATCAAGGCGACATACAAACATGAAGACAAACTTCCTCGCTTCAAAGTAACTAAAAGTTCTCCGTATCAAAAAAGAACAAAAAGAACAAAAAGAACACGGTCAAAAGACCCTACCGCTTCCTGTCTAATCACACCCTCAGCTGTGAACCATTGTCATGCCATATATAGACATATAGACATATAGACATGCACGTCACATCCGACAGCAAATAAGTGACACTTAAACTAACATCTTTTAAAGCGTAGCGTGACTCACAAAAATAAATAGTTAAGAGTTTCCTCTAAAGCCTTTTAGTAATAAGACAAACATTCAAACCATAATGATGAAAGGGAAATGGCTCTAACCCCTTCATTGAGCAAGGGGCACATTGCTCTGTATGCATTGGGTGTGAATGGGTGACTTGTTGTATGTAAAGCGCTTTGAGGGGGTGAAAGACTGGATGAAGCGCTTTATAAATACAGTCCATTTACCATTTACCAATTACATTAAATAAAACAGCTTTAATATCACTAACGGTACTTTACTACGTACTGTTCCTTTAACTGAGAATGATGAGTTGTGTTTGTAACGTGGTGACTTTAGTGAACTCTTGGTCACTAAAACCCACATAGCAATACTCTTTAAAGTGATCGTCACACTCACTATGAACACTTCAGTTAGTTATGTGGATCTGTAATTAACTCTGGTTTGAATGTGTTGTTAAATGATTCATTAAACAGATCAACCAGAACTCTAACTCTTTACCTTTTTATATAATAAATCATTATTCTGTCAGCATTTATGACGTCTATATTTATTTCTGATTTTTTCCCCCAACAGCTGCAGATGTGAAATATTACTCCCCCATTGTCAGAGCTGGAGATGAAGTCACTTTGCCTTTTGACAATGTGATAGATGATCAGGATAAGTGTGAGAGTACTGAGTGGCTCTTCAGTTGTTCAGGAAACTCACGAGTGACGCTGTTTAAAGACGGGCAGATTCACAACGATTCCAAAGCTAAATCAGACAGACTGAATGTTACAGAGAATTGTTCTCTGGTTATAAAGAAGGTCACAGAGGAGGATGCTGGTTATTACCGCTGCAGCCAGTTCAACAAATCAGGAGAACAACAAGGTCCGGAATCTGTGGTTATTCTGTATGTGGTTACCAGTGAGTATTTACATCATAATGTTTGCAAACTTTCTCTATATTGAAACATTATAATTATAATAATAATGATAACAGTGATGAAGTTAATGTTACTCTTGTTGTCTTTTCTCTCACAATATCTCCATCTTCAGTGACTGGACATCTGGACAATGATGAGGTGACGTTACGCTGCTCTGTGGTGCCATATGTACGGTGTAGACACAGAGTGAAGTGGCTGATTCAGGGTCAAGATGTGGATAAAGATCACAGAGATATAAATATATCACAGTCTCTCTGCTCTGCCTCTGTGACATTTCTGACTTCTCTCTTTAGTTACACAACAAGGTTTGAGTTGTTTACTTGTCAAGTAACTGATGATTACACAAGAGAAGTTCATCTGTTTCCCGTCAGCGATCAGTCCTCAGGTGAGAACATGATAAGCTGTTTAAAATAACTTCTAACAGTCTTGTTATAATAATATATTGAAACAACACATTTACAACGTCTCACATTTATCAGGGATTTCATGAGTTTCTGAAATGTGAAGTGACAGATGGTTATGATAAAAAAGAGAAGCTCTTAATTGAGAAACCAGGTTAGAATATAATGAGTTGTTAAAAATCACTGATCACACATTTAATCACAGATAATGCTTTTGGGGGTTTGAGTTTTTGACGTCACATCATTTTGTCATTTGATTTATGCATACAACTTTTTGTTTTTTTAACTGCAGGACCAGACAGCAAACATCCAGAAGGACCAGGTAGTGACTGAAGAGAAGAAATACATTTAACAGCTAAAAATCTCTGACTATATTTCACACTTGGGACTTCTCTCTTTCCAGCTGTGTGGTGGGTCATCATGGTGCCTGTGGGGTTAGCAGCTCTCATCATCACCGTGGTTACAGTCCACATCTGGACCAGAGCTAAAGGTGAGGGTTCATAGATTCAAGAGAAAAGAAAAAGTAAACCGTTGAAGCTGAAGTCAACATGTTTGTCTTTTTGGTTTTTTTTCAGGGGACAAAAAACGGATGACAAAAAACCTCGTGAGTTTAAATATAAAATAATAGCTTGTAATATTTATTATTTTCATTTAACTGTGATTATAAGACAGGCAGAAGATTCAACAAAGGAGTAAAGTGTGCATGTTGTGTTGAAATGAAGTATCTCTGTGGTTCCCTTGAGCAAGGCACTAAAGGAAGTACTGAGATATTGCACTTCAATAAAAGTAGCAATACTACAATGTAGAAATACTCTAATATATAAATATGATTAATAATACAAATATACCTACATTGAAAGTACTGATTATGCAGAATGTAATAATATAATATATGATTATAATAAGTGATGTTTTAATGTGTATCACTTCCATTTGCAATGTATGGTTTATTAAAATGACTGTACATACTACTGGGTAGCTTAACTAGTTATATTTGTCATGTAATACATCATAGATGGTGATTTCTGCTCAATTTAAGAATGAAATAAATACATAATAAAAAAAGGAATATAAAAGATGTTAAAGCAAGAATGTGTAATAAAAATGAATGGATGAAGATGAGTAAAAGGTTCAACATTAAGCTCCAGAATAAGGAGCCGTTAAAGTGTAAAGTAGCATTAACTGATGATAGTCAAGTAAAGTCCTTAAAATATGTACTGAAATACAAAACTGAGTAAATGTACTTAGTTACTTTCCAGCTCTGCTCTGTGTTTTCACCATGTCTCTGTTCCATGCTGACAGGAGCAGAATGATGAAGATGAAGATGAAGATGAGGTGAACGATGAAAACGATGGAGGGGCTTCTGCCTCTGTGTGACTGATCAACAACATCAACTCCCCTCAGAGTCCATGCTGTCAAACATCACCTCCTCATATTCTACAGGAGAAAACAGGAGAACCATGAGATCATTGGAACATTTCTGATGACTGAGAACACCTGAGCCCCATGAGAGGCCCTTCAGAAACTCACCTCCATATGATAGGAAACAAAGCTTATTATATTCATTCATTTCTGATGTAATGTCCTTTAAGTATGCTCTCACATTCCCATACATAGTTATATATCTGATCTATAGTCTACAGTCTCTGTATATAACATCTCAATATTAGCAGTACTTGTACTCACACCTTATACCTTCACTTCTCACTGTAACTGCTGCACATGTTCAAACATACAAGTGTTGGGTTGAATTCATAACATTTCTAAATTGTAAAATGATCCCTAATCTATATTTCTTCATTGTGCTCTCTAGGGACTTTCAGTCAAACTTGGTCTAATCAATTTTAAGAATGTCTTTTATTTGTTTTTGTTATTAATGATTCATATAATGTCTTATAATTATCATAGCGTGTACTTATACCTACAGTATATATACCTGTACTGCCTAACTGCTGCACATGCTGTATATATCTGATCAATAGTCTATACAATATATTTACTATACTCTCTTTTTACTCTATATGTATTCCTAAAGCTGAAATGCCTCCAGTATCTTAGGATGTTTTAATTAGCTTAAGTCCCAATGGAATATGTTACTCCTTTTTTTACTACGGCTTTAATGATATATAACCCAAATAAAAAGAGTACTTTTAATCAATGTTATAATGAGTTGTGTTTCTCTCTCTATCTCCAACACACTGACAACACAACGCTTTGTTGGGTTGAACACCTCTCTTTGCCCTGGCTCTCACTTTGTAAACAACACACAGTTTGTGTCAGAGCCAAGGAAGGTGTTGCACATTTAGTGGAGCTGTGGTGATATCCTGGGATCAGGTATGAGGCAACAAAGAAAGTGATACAGTTTGTGTCAGAGCCAAGGAAGGTGTTTTTTTAAATACTTTATTTACACTGTGGGGAATTATTTTTGGTAACCATTTTGTTTGTATTATTATATAAATTAAATCAAATCATAATAAAAAAACAAATGGTTAAATAATTATTCATCCTGGGTTACATTTAAATTCGTAAAAGTTGCTCCATTTTAGAAATAGAATATGGATTAAAAGATGAAAACATTTTGGGTTATTTCTTATTATTAAATACTCAGATCGTGTACTTGAGTACAAGTAGAAGTACTCAGATCTTGTACTTGAGTACAAGTAGAAGTACTCAGATCTTGTACTGGAGTAAAAGTAGAAGTACTCAGATCTTGTACTTGAGTAAAAGTAGAAGTACCCAGGTCTTGTACTTGAGTAAAAGTAGAAGTACTCAGATCTTGTACTTGAGTAAAAGTAGAAGTACTCAGATCTTGTACTTGAGTAAAAGTAGAAGTACCCAGGTCTTGTACTTGAGTAAAAGTAGAAGTACTCAGATCTTGTACTTGAGTAAAAGTAGAAGTACCAGAGTGTAGGAATACTCTGTTTTAGTAAAAGTACTGCATTCAAAATGTTCCTCAAGTAAAAGTAGAAAAGTATTCTCATCAAAATATAGTGAAAGTAGCGACAGTAAAAGTAGTCGTTGTGCAGATTGGTCCATTTCAGAATAATATATAGGATATGTTTTATAATGATTGATCATGAAAGTGTTCTCAAAGCTGGTAAAGGTGCAGCTAGTTTGAATGACTTTGTATACTGCAGGGTAGCCCTGGCTCTCACTTTGTAAACAACATACAGTTTGTGTCAGAGCCAAGGAAGGTGTTGCACATTTAGTGGAGCTGTGGTGATATCCTGGGATCAGGTATGAGGCAACAAAGAAAGTCATACAGTTTGATGTGACTTACGTACTCTTCAGCGTTCCTGGAGAGTGCATCAGAGCGTCATACAGGAAGCTCTAAGAATGGCACATGGAGAAGAGGCTAAAGAACCTGGCTAGGTGGCTATAGACCTTTTCAAATCCCCTGATCAACATCCTGTCAGCTTTCAGTTTGGTCCTCCGGTTCAGTCAACGCTTCATCTGTTGAGCAGATCCCCATTTTGCCAGTTGTGTGCTGTTGAATGACGTGTGCGATTATTTGTGTGTTAGTGTGTGTGTTTCTTAAAGTGTGTGTTTGTTAATACACTGCAGCTCGACAGCACCACCCTCAGGTTTGTGTGTTTCTTTTTTTTTACGATCAAATGTTTTAAATCAAATCAAATCAAACCAAATCAAGGTTTATTTATAAAGCACATTTAAAAGCGATTTTTGGTCGGGCCAAAGTGCTGTACCTGTAATAACTACAATCACATAAAAACACATTTCTATAATCACAATAAAAGACAATAAATTACAACAGATATTTAAAAGAAAACACAAGGAAAAGTCAGGAGTCGTGCTCCGCTCTGACTAGAAGGCCAGGGAGAAGAAGTGTGTTTTTAGTGTAGATTTAAAACCCCCTAGGGTCTGGGCCGACCTCACATGGAGGGGCAGAGTGTTCCAGAGCCTAGGGCCAGCTGCTGCGAAGGCTCGGTGCCCTCGGGTTTTAAGCCTGGTCTTGGGCACTATCAGCAACAGCTGGTCAGCAGACCTTAAAGCTCTGGCTGGGGTGTAGCGCTGGAGGAGTTCAGCTATATAGGCTGGAGCCAGCCCATTTAGTGCTTTTACTTTTGGTCTGTCACTGGAGGAAGATTTTGTATTCTATATATTAAAAAGACATCAAAACAGACCTTCTTGCTGTCAAGTTTTCATCAGTAACGTGGGTTAAAATCAACACTTTTATTTTAAATAAATGTTGCTTAAATGTTATATTTTCACTTCAGTATGGTTTATTTTCAGGACTTTTAATAGTATTTTCTTTTATTATAAAATATTTTATGTAATTATTCATCTTATTTATTTCCACCTGTGTTTCCAGCTGTATTTCCACTCCAGGCCTCTAGGGGGCGATACACTCTTAAAGAACCTGACTGTACCTGTAATGCACCTGAGTTTACAGATGCAGGGATACAAGACAAAAGACTGCATATTAAGAACACCTGATGCAGCAATTCCTCTTCATCACACCACGTGACCTCCTCCTCTTCTTCAGGTGAGTGTTTGTCTAAAGGCTAAAGATTCAAAGGCTTTACTGTAGATGCACATCATAACAAACAGCACACTTAAGACATAATAAGTGATAAATAATTGAAATAAGTTAATGAAGTAGTGCATTAAAGTGAAATCATAAGGTAAAGGTAAAAAGCAGGAAATTATATACGGCAGAAATACTGTTTACTTTAATAAATAAGTGCACTGTAAACATGTCTGATATTCATCTGTTCCATAGAGCTGGAGGGAAAGAAAAGTGAGTATGCATAAAGCAGTTCTGAAAGTCTTGATTGTATAGAAGTCTGTGAGAAAATGACCCCACGTCTCACTTGATTTATTTCCTCAATAAACATTTTCCTGCAGATGTTATGTTCTCAACCTCTGCTTTCAAGTCTTCTTTAATACAGCACGATGTTCGGTGAGTTATGGTCACATTTAGAGTAGAATAGACAATAAAGTCACATCTCCAGTGAAATCAATGAGACAGCTCACCCTGGCTTTCCTGCTGCTCTTCCTGGTGTAGCTGATGGAGGCGTAGGAAACACCATCTTCAGGATCAGCCTGCACAAATAAAAGATATTATTATTTAAAGAAACATATTGCCAAAAAACTATAATAAATACAGCCTTTAATTAACTTTGTATTTTCTGTCTATAACCTTTTGATGTTGCTGTTGCACAACTTCCTACCTACTTTAAAGGTCACCTATCATGCTATTTTTAGGCAATAGCATAGGTCTCAGATATATACAAATATATAAAAAACATGTCTATGAAGTGTTTTGCTCAAAATACCAAACAGATCACCCATTCTAGCCATGCCTCATATCCCTCTGTTTCACTTCCTGTTTCTAAAGTGATGATTTGGGGTATAAAGCTTTAAAAATAAAAAATTGATAAAAATAAAAAAGTAGGGGTCTGAGCTCATGCGGGACCCGGCAGCTACCGTCTAAACTAAATACTGCCGTGATGAAACGCCATATCATGGATTATCAAGGATTCTTTCTGAAACAGTATGGAGCTCAAAGGCTTTCTCTCTTGCTGGTTATACCACAAGGTGAGTTCCTTTTTATTTCCTGCTTCTTCACACACACTGCATGCAAATAACTGCTTGGTTAGAAAGCTAGTCATTTTTGATGACCTCCTGAGCTTTCCTCTTGGGCCACCATCCGACTAAACTGAGAACTTTCCTTTTTTCATCTATCCAGTATAATCTTGTATTTTTAAAAGGTAGCTGCAAACTTGGGGAAACTTTTGCGCCTCAGGCCTGTTGAACTACACTCTGTGGTCCTCATCCATTTCCCTTTTTTGTGCATGATATGCAGGAAGCTGAGGCTGGAGAACTGGAGCAGGCAACAATGGCAATCTTTGTCATTGGGAAAGAGGATCAGTTTCATCGACCCAAAGACGTCAAGGTTCTCATCGAAGGAACAGAGGTCCTCAACGGCTTGCCCTCAGTTGCGACAGCTTTTGCCATGCTCTTCGGGCTCATATACGCACTGAACTTAAGATATCCTAAAGAACTGCAATCCACTTTTGAAGTTGTGCAAAAAGTCCTGATGAGGGAAAAAAGATGAGCCCAAAAGTGAATAGACTGAGAACCCAGCTGTTCATCCCAGAGTAGACACTTTGTTGCACTCACTCACTTGCAGTCACCATTGTTCTTACATGGTAAGGTTTCTAAAACCAAGGTTTTATAATAATTATGCATTGTAAAAAATGTGCCAAAACGTTTTGTGTTCAGAAGTTGCACTTACAGTATGACCGATTTTCACTGTAGACGTTATGCATGTCTGCTCATTTTCAGAGATTACATGTCTCACAGGCGCAAGTTGTCAGTGTTGCTTTAAAAAAGTGTGCAGTTGATTATAAGGACAAGTCCTTTTTCTAAGAGTTTGATGTTTGGAAGCGGCGCATATTACTGCATTTTAACTGTGGTACTTATTAACATGTCTGCTTAAGATCAGGTAATGGCTGCCTCAGAGGCCAAAGCTGGTTGTGTGTGTCACTACCCGATCTGCATCCCTGCTTCTAACAGAAGTTAAATTCATTTCTCACTTATTCTGACAATGTACTTAACCCCAAATAAAAGAACCCAATAAAAAGAGTTATTCAATAATAGTGAAGTCACGTTGTAATAACAATAACTCATCTCTCTCGGTTTTTTGAGTTTTCTTTTAGTGCTTAGCCAAACGCCATGTGTCAAGTGTCCTAGTTGGGTTGCCGTACGGAGTTGTCCAATATGGCGGACCATCTGCGCACTGCAGATAGGGCAGAGATGCAGATCGGGTAGTGACAGTGTGAACAACTTGTTTTTCATTCAAATAAATGTGCTCTAAAATAATTTGTTATTCGTCATTAAATGCAATATAATCATAACATTTTTAAATTATAATTGCTAAACATTCAGATACTGACAACTTACATTTTATATTTGAGACGATGTAAAATAATTGGTTTGATTTAGTTAAGAAATGGTTTTGAATTTAGTTTAATTATTTCAGGTTCAACTTTTTTTTACATTCAGTCAGTAACAACAACACACTTTTTTCATTTAGGACAACGTAAAATAATTGGTTTACTTCACCATCAGATAATAGTTTGCCTGGAGTTAAAATATACAGATTGATCTGATGAAATGGACTTTCATTGAGTCAATGT